AAAAAAAAAAAAAAAAAAAAAAAAAAAAAAAAGACAGAGGGTATGGAGAAAACAGATCACATTATCATTGCTAGTAGGTATGTAAAATAGTATAGCACTCTGAAATAACAGTCTCCCTTCCTCCCTCTGGTGACTGAATTTAAGGTCTTCACACTGAGGTCCCCAAACCCCTCCCTACCCTTTAAAGTTAGAGTTAGGGACTTGCTAAATTGCCCAGGCTGAGTTTGAACTTGTAGTCTTGCTGTCTCAGCTTCTTAGCAGTTTCTTTAAAAACTTAAAATATGTAACTACCATATAACCTAGTAATTACATTCCACAGAAATGAAAATATACGTTCACATAAAAATCTGTTTGCAAATATTTATAAAGCCCTTATTTTTAGTCTAAAATTTGAAAGTTAAAGCAGGAGGATCACGTGAATTTGAGACCAGCCTGGGCTACATAGTGAGTTCAAGACTCTGTCTCAAAAAAACCAAAAACCAAAAACCAAAACAAAACCCTGCACCCAACCAACACAAAACAAAACTGGAAACAACCCAAATGTCTTTAAATGGACGAACAGTTAAACTATGGTTTACTATTACCATATCATATTATTCAGCAATAAAAAGAAACAAACTATGGTTGGTACAGAAAACAACCTGAATGGATGTTAAGGAAATTATGTTGAAATAGCAAATAAAGCTAATTCTTAGAGGTTATATACTGTATGACACCATTTACAGAACATTCCTTAAAATGAGAAAATTACAGAAATAGAGATTAATGGTTATCAGCAACTAAGGAGTTTAAGTGAAAGAGAAGTACATGTGGTTATGAGACAGCAATATCATATTTGTGGTCGTGGCAATGCCTCACAACTTGACTCTATGGATGTCAGTATCCTTTTTTGTACTATGATTTTGCAAGATGTTAATATAGAGGTCAACTGGATAAAGTGTTCCCAGGATATCTTTGTATTATATTTTATAATTTCATCTAAAATCTATAGTCATCCGAAAATAAAATATAAATGCAACACAGTCTGTATGTTTGAAATTTACATAATAAAATCCTGCTGAAAATACCATGCAACTGGAGCAATGCAATAAAGTTCCCCAAGACCTTTACTACCAAGATGAAGATTTTTACCTTGAAATGAAAGAAAGGGTAGATTATTAATACAGCACATTTGACTCACCGTTTGTTTCTGGAGGCCATCTAATTTGTCTTCAGTATTGTCTTCTTTATCCATGTTGCCTCTAAATAAAAGTAACCACATAACCACCCAGGAGTTATTTTGTCACATCATGCTTAAAATAAGACCTCCTAAATCAGTAACTAAAGGGAATATTAGATCCTTCCTCCATGGGTGCTCAAATTTTTTAGTTTCTCTTTTCCTTTAAGGAGAACTCAAGAGACACTAAGAATGAGACAGACTATCATGAATGGTATCATCACTTCTATGGGCAATGACTTGCACTCAAATGAGATGGCAGCAAGAGATTGGAGCCTCAGGGTCTATTCAGCTAAGTTTTGAAACTGGCTATTTAGTGATGATACTATCAGAAAAAAGGCCATTACTGCTTCTCAAGAGCTATTTGCACATGTGGCAAACACGTTTGTGTTTGTATTCTGGTTTTGTTGAGTAGGATGTTCCATATATATTGACTATATCTTGATAGTTGATAAAGTTGTTATATTTTTCTAGTTGCTTAATCACATGTTGAGAGAAGGATATGAAAGTACTATAATTGTGAATTTATCCTTTTCAGTCAGTTCTGTCAGTTTTTGACTCACACATTTTACAGTTTTAAACATAGACTGAAGGCTTCCTTAACCAACTGAGGCCTGATGCACCAATCTGAGACAACAGAGGGTTGAATCTTCCCAACGAATCTCTTACATCTGGCAAATCACTTTCTTGGAAGAGAGCTTGGCTTTCATGCTGGAAAGGAAAGGCATTTTGCCTTCTTTTCCATCAGACATTTGCAGATAGGTTAGCTGCCTAATGTCTTTCTCATAAGCTTAACTATTGCTGATGCCTGTTTCTCACATTCCTTTTAAAAGTGACTTGGAAACAGTCTTGTCCCAAATGTGCTTATCCTTGTTGGTCAGGTCCTTGAGGTAGGAAATCGCCTATCTTTAATGTTAACCACAAAAGCACAGCTACCCCACAAAAATATAAACTTTTTGGCACATTCAGGTACCTTACCCAGGGAGAGATTTTCTTGAATGAATCTGACAATAGGATCACTAGTCATTTGGACTTTGATTAATATCTCCCAAAATGCATTTTGTTATCTTCCATAGGAAATGGCTTTGGGACCAAAAACATTATGACAGCTAAAACGTTCACTATGGATTAGGATAGATGAAAAATTCATGTCACACTTTTCTTGCTCTGATCAGATGGTTAGGGGCTCCTGGTAGTGCCAAGCTCTCATGACAGGCCTGATCACAGACCTTGGCAATATAAAGTAATATCTGCTACTTTTGAGATGATTGAGCCAAAAGCTTACTGAACACAAGTTAAATGATAAATGTTATGTTTTCCAAAAATACGTATAATTGGGGGAGAACTATAGTTTTAGGTACATTATCTTTTCTGAGATTTTTTTTTGCGGGGGGTGGTTACTGGGGATTGAACCCAGGGCCTTCACACGGAGCTGTAGCCACAGCCCTTTAAAATTTTTTCTAAGACAGGGTATCACTAAGTTACTAAGTTGTCCAAGCTGGGCTTGAACTTGAGATCCTCCTGTCGCCTAGGCCTTCCAGAGTGGTGGGATTTCAGGCATGTTTCCAACATGCCTGGCTGAAGTTTTAAATTTTGGTGTAGTGCTACCAGTAAATAAACTCAGCCAAAGAGAACACTCCATAAGTTTTTGCACACTACCCACTGACAAGCTGAAATGCCACAGCCATCAAACACTGGCTCCTAAGTCTACCTCACTCAGACCATGCAATCCTTAATAATATTGGCATTTACATCGAGGAACTTCAAGATTAAGAGACCTGTACTTGTTGTGCCTCTCCCAGATTTCTGCCAGGTGTGAGACCATGCAATCCTTAATAATATTGGCATTTACATCGAGGAACTTCAAGATTAAGAGGCCTGTACTTGTTGTGCCTCTCCCAGATTTCTGCCAGGTATGAGAGGTCTGAATTCTTCCTTGAGAACTGTCTGACCAGATGAGAGGTGAGCCTAGTTAAAAAGTTGAACAGGATGATGGGCAGCCTGGGGAACCAATGAAGGACAGGACTAGTATTTGGTTCAAAGTACTTGGAAGTGTGCAGCATAAGTAGATTAGACCCAAAGTAGCAATATGGGGAGGAAAGTGCAGGGTAGTAAGATTTAAAGGAGATGACAGTCACTGAGGAAAAGATACAAAGACCGAATACATGTGGAAGGGGTCACAGACCGGTGGCAGGTATGTTACATCAGAGTCAGTTTATGGGGCTTCTCACCTGTCAGGAATGTCTGAGGTCCCATCTGTACCACCCTGTTCTGCTGAAAGAGACTTCTCATCTGGCATCCCGACTTTCTCCAGGAAGCAGAGGGCTGGGTCTGCTCGCATGGCATTGTACCTTTCATAACCTGATTAAGTAATAACAAAACATCAGCAGTGAGAAACATGAGAAGTCATATCAGAACTCTCCAAACTTGTCTTGGGCCCTAGATTGTCATTTTGTTTCCCTTACTAGGTACAAGAAAGATTAAGATGAAACAAGCACAAATGAAAAAATACTTATTTAGGATTAATGAGATCCTATAAGACTTCCTAACAGGGAAGGACCCTGGAGCTAAAGCACACACCTCTGAGCATTTAGACAAAACTGAAAGTTTATGTAACTACTTTGTATCTGTGAACAGGTGCAGGGTCCAGATTCTTAGCAGGTTACCACTTATGGACAGCAAAGGGAGACAGACAAGTTGGTTTTGTAATCTCTTCCTTCTATCCCTCAACTCTGAACACCTTGTTATATCCTAAATGGGACTTGTTTTCTTACAGTCCAATTCTATCCCATGAATTACAAAAGAAGATGAACAAAATGACAGATGTAAGTAAGGGGTGAAACACAGAACAACTACTGAGATTCGTTATTTGGCAAAAATGGACCTGTTGCCTCTGTATTCACAAACTCAGCATGAAACCCTAACCCACATTGGCCAGGGCTTTGGAATTGTTCCTCACCGCATCCCCAAAGTCAACAGATGGGACGTTTAGATGGAGAAGAGGGACCTCAAAAGGAAGGCAAAACAATGAAAAATAACTTTTAATTTGATAAAATCCAAATGTGAGAATATGTTATTATTGTACTGGGTCTAATACACATTTATTTATTTATTTTTTGATACTGGGGATCAAACTTGAGACTGTGCTTACGAGGCAGGTGATGGAACCGCTGAGCTAAATCCCCTGCCCAAGTCTAATATACTTTTATAAGGAAGCAGGATCTGGCTGTGGAAAAGACTCAGTTCTACTGTCATTCTAAAGTATCTTGGGGAAAGCTCCTTTGCGATCAGCAAAACTTTTTCAATGTTTCTCCTTACAAAGTCAACCTTTAGTTCTGTAGTATGGAGAGAACCCACCACAGGGGATGAAGAGCTGACTGTAAACAAGGATCAAATTGGTTAAGAACAGACTTGACTTTACTTTGCTGGGTATTTCATTTTTTTTGGCATTTGTTCTTGTATAACTGTTAATGCAATTACATTCTTCACCGGTAGGCAGCACCTCATACTTTGTCTCCAAGGAGCTGCTGGTACTTGATCTTTTAATTCAGTGTGACTCTCCTCAAGACAAAGCCTGTCCATGGAGGCACATGACACTAGAAATCGCAGTGCTTCATGTTCTTCGTTCATTTATCCTTTAGAACAATTATTTGATTATTGTAAGCCTCTCTCGTGAGACTAGGCTGCCTAGGAACACAATCTATCATTTGCTCATCATCATCATATTAGCCCTTAGCAAGGGCCTGACACTGTACACAGACAACTGACTGAGTCAGTTTTGGTGACTCTCTTCCAATAATCACCATTCTCATCTGGTCCCTACGTTTTGCCTCAGCTCACATAAAACTACTGCCTTACAGAAATTCCTACCATTGTCTCCACTTGCCCCTCCTCATGAAAAGAGGAGTGATTTGTCTGACAGAAAGATCGTAAAGGTTTCCTTTACTACTGAGGGAGCCTAGCTGTCTGTGGGTGTTCCATCTCCATACTCTGTGCTTGACAGAACACAAAGTAGGTGGGATCCTCTTCCGCACTGCAGACTTTCTTGTCATGCATGGGCCTAATGTCAGGACAGACTCTGTATTTCCATTTCTTAATTAGCTGTAAAGTTGGAAGTAAGGAAAAGTGGTACATTCAGACCTCTGGAAAACCATAACAACTGTCCTAAAAAGATCCAGCAGAACAGTAATGATAAAACAAAGACTTGAGCAGCAAAATGACAGGTCTTTTGGGGAGAGGCTGCCTGCCTCCTTTCACTTAGCCTATAAGCTCCTCTCTTAAGAAAATGAATAGAAATACAAAAATATGTATTTTGGGGAATGTTTTATAAATCCAGGCTGCCCTACAGGGTAGGAGTTACTTAATGCAATTCAGAATTGTTAAGAACATCATTTAGACTGGGCTTGCTACCGGGACCTTGTGGTGGTGGTATGGAGATGGAGCTATGGTAATATTCCTCTCCTTTAAGTATATCTGTGGCAGGCAGACAGGGGTGGACTAAAAGATCAACAAGAACCACAGTATGAACAGATGAAAATGTTTATAGCACTACATCACACACCTAACCAAGGGATGGGGGTGAGGCAGAGTGGGCTTTCTGATACATAATCCCTGAAAAGTAAAATCTACCAGTTCACAGTCAGCTGAAACAGAAAGCAGGACCTTAAAACTGCCAGAAATGAAGACAAAGGCATTTATTCTGAAGTTTTCCAAATGATTAAAAAAATGTTTCTTTGTTCATTTAATCTCTTGGTTAACAAAAAGAAAACAAAAAATGAGGTCCATGTATGCTTTTTAACTGACAGGGCAAAAGATATACACTAATAACATGTAGATTGTCTCCAATGACCTTAGTACTCTATGTACATATGAAATGATAAAACCTAGCATTTTCCTCATTTATTTATTCCTTCAACCAAGAACAATGAGTGTCTACTATGAGCCAGGCACTAGGTCAGGCCCCAGGACCAGTAAGAGGGAATGAAAGGGAGGCAGTCTCCCCTCAAGTACAAACAGGCAAGCAAGGAAGAAAAACACCAAGTGAGTTCTTTGTGACCACAGTGCCCCTCTTGAAGTTTCTCAACGTATTTACAGCATTGTCATGAGTTACACATTCAGCTGGTCAAGACTTCCAAGAGGGTAGGGGTAAGGCTCTGCTTTCTGAGACAAATGTTTAATAGGACTGTGGAATTTTGTAGGAGCATGTGAAACTTAGTGAAAGAATGCCTGAATCATTTTTCCTGAGTGATCTGATCCAGAAAGGAAAATTTTTACTGCAATACACACCATGCTTGAAAACGCCAATGAGAAGAGATTTATCAGCCTCAGCATCCCACCAGTCCACTGGTATCTCCATGTAGTCAATGTCAGGCAAAAGCACATCCAGTTCCCTGTGGAAGGAAGGGTATAGACTGTTTTGTGTATGTTTCTTCAGCACAGACATAAAACAATGGAAAAGCTATCAGCCCAATACTGGTTCTCAACCAGATTCCTAGCTACATGCTGAGATGCTGAATTAAGGACAAAGAGGAGCATTCAGAAGGCTGTGGCTAGTTATTTCCTAACTAGGGCTTTGCATCAGGGTCAGATAGAGAGCTATCTAAACCTAGGTACTTGAGTTCCAGAGTCTCCCTTCCCCTCCCCCCAGGCATTTTCTATTGGGGTTGAACCTAAGGTTTTCACACTGACCTATATCCCAGACCCTTTCTATTTTGAGACAAGTCTTGTTAAGGTACAAGTTGCCTAGGTTGGGCATACACTTGCAACGAGCCTGCCTCAGCCTCCCAGAATGCTGTGATTACTGCATGATACACCACACCTGGCAAGATTCTACTTTAGACTAATGGATACAGAGCCCTGAAGCAATACCTGGAGAGGCAATTGTTGGTTGGCCCTGGGATCTATATATAAAATAATTCTGTTGTGCACCTTTAACTGACAACACAGGAAAAGCCTCTGATATACTGGTCATCAGAAGGTAGAATTTCCCTCAAAATAGCTGAACTCAAACATGACTGAATGATTAAAACAATAGTGTTCAAATCATCATGGCTCGACATGCTGCCTTCGTATGTACAGAACACAAGTACTACTTGAAAACAAGAGTCTGCCTTGGTACAGTTGGGATATACAGAGGGCCTGTTAGAGGACAAGTGTCATAACAGGTAACACATTCTGGTAACGATCTGTTGACAATCTATTGGGTCAAAACTGATCATAAGCTGCATTGCTACTAGCCAAAGGGATAAACATAATTTGCTCCAGGGTGCAGACATGCAATAGTTAGCAGCCTTGTTTCATCAGCTCTCTATAAATTCTATCCATATTCTAAGAGAACATGTGGACCCGTAGCTCACTGTTGTCATTCATCTGAGAAGAGCTTGGTCCTTGAAGGTTCTCAGGGTTAGCACAGAGTGAAGACGGCTCTTCCTTCTCCCTCCTCACTACTTAGGATGGCTTCTCTGAAACATCTGAAAGTTCCACCAGACTCTTCTGATCGTGACAAGCCTGACTAACCCTTCTTAGGTCCAGTTCCCTCTGTGAGGTTAGTGTTCCCTGGCTCCCAGCTTTCCAGAAAATCACTGTTCTGCTTACATAGTGGCTAAATGACTTTTCAGGAAAAACTACTGTCCATGCCTCAGGGTAAGTGTTCTTCATTGTGACATTAAACATCAGCAAGATCTGTGAGAAACTAAGAAAGCAGAGGAATGGAAAGGAGAGAGTAGGCAATACCTTGTCCTTCCTCTACAGAGTAACACCTATCTATATGTCTGTGAAAGCATATGATGGGCAATGAGTAAGTTAATATTTCTGCCAGGTAAGACCTGATATAAACTATCAGGTTGAATATTACTGTATTTATATAATTTGAACCTATCTAACAAAACACCACTTCCTATCCCTGCTGTAAATTACTACCACATCTCCAGAAGGCATATTAAGTAATAATAATTATTGTGAGGATGGGTCCTAATTACAATTTGTTCATGGTCAGGCCGCCTATGCTTTTCTCTCCTTTATTGCTCCTATGACTGTTAAAACTACTGGCCTATGAAAAGAAAAAGAAGGTAACTAATGGCCACAGGTAATCTCAGCACTGCTGGTATTGTCTAGGAATCAGTATGTAGGAAAAACTGCAGCTCCAGGGAAGGTGAAGGAGGTTGTCTGGTGATTTCACCTATTAATTATGGCTTTCTGACAGCTCTATGAAGTAGCAGCACAGTTTTCATTCCTTGAGATCTTGAGAGACTCAAAGATGCAACAAATCAAACAGGTCATTAAGGTATTACCATAATTAACAAATAAACAAGAAATTCTCAAATGCATTAAGAGTACTTAGATCAAAATGGGATTCTGGGAAAAAGTTTACTTTATACCTGGCAAACTAAGCCAGAGTAACTGACACTTATTCTAGAAGATTACCTAAGGTAGAGCAGTGACTGTTTCAAAAGCAGTCTTACAGGGACAGGGATTTAGCTCAGTGGTTCCGGCGCCTGCCTCGCAAGTGCAAGGACCAGAGTTTGATTCCCAGTGCAAAAAAAATAAATAAATAAAAGCAGTCTTATAATAACACGGTGGGTGGGGAGGGAAGAAACTAAAAACCTCCCAAAAGCTGTATTTCCAGAAGCCTATTTTTTCCCTTCTTTTACGTGTAAATATCCTGATAGAATTGTCCTTCTCTCTGCCTACCATTTGGGTTACTGGTCCTGGGAAGTTTGGCCAGTCCATGAACAAGCACTTAATGTCCATTCTTGAACACTCAGAGCTAAGGTTGATTTATTTTACCTGGCAGGAGTTCCCTCAAATGCTTTATCAGCTGCTTCTCCCAGTATTTCAGCTTTTAGGTAGTACAGCATCCGGACTCGCAAAAGGACTCTATGAAAGGTGAACACATTAATGTAAACACATTAGAATCCAGGACTACCTGTGACCTCCACCCTAAACTGACACTGGGAAATTAGGGGCATTGTTATGTAGTTAGCAGTATGAAGTAGAAAAGCACCAGGAAAAAAATCCTCCATGTACCAATGGAAGATGCTAGGATGATCATCCTGTCTTTCCCCAAAAACAATCATTTCCTTAATTATCTGTTGGACTGCCCTGTGAGTATGTCTTCTGATCTTTAAAGAGTATATAATCCTTCCACAAGGCCACAATGACCTCGCAGGCAGAGCTAGTGTCCAAGGTGCTAGTTACCAGTGTGAATAATGTTGATTGGCAGTTTTTTCAGTTTTATTCATATAGAATGAAATGAGTATTTAAAGGACAGAAGTTACTTTTTCACAGTACTAGATCTTCTCTCCAGAATCAATTCCTTATGAATCCACAGAGGCCAAGCTCAGGTTCCTTGACAATACATCAACTTTATTTCAGACAAAGCAATTAAATAAGTATTTCTTGAACAACCACAATATGCCCTGCACCATGCTGGATGCTGTGAGATATATATAAAGTAAACAATTCAACCTCATTCTGAGGAACCTAGGACAGTGCAGTTGTGAAATGAGACTAACTGGCAAGAGAGTAGAGAAGTTGACTGTGAGGGTGTAGGCCAAGAGTGCATAGCAAGAGCGAGTGCAGACCTCCAGCGCCCCAGACCTTCATCAGAGCAGACTGGTGATGACTGCCCAGCTGCGCATATCCCCCTTCCCATGCTCTCAGGCCTCCCAGTTGTGCTGATACCTGGATCCACATTGCAGAGGCACATGTGGTCATAAAGGTCATTTCACTGAGCTGCAGAAGATAGAATGGATAAAATAAAAGCACATCAGACCTCTGTAGTTGGTAAGTTGGAGGGATCACCGGCTTCCATCAGAACCTGGACTATCTTCAGGGGAAGGACAGCTGGAACGTGCAGCAGAACCTTGCAGAGTTCAACCCTGCAGGAGGTCAGTGAGCTCAATATGGGCCCGGCAGACAAATCAGCCTGAACATCAAGGGACAGCTCCTGGCTTCATGAGACTAACTGACTTAGTTCTTCACACTGCTGCCCACATTGTCTATTGTGACAGCAGAGATACACCCTGAAAGAGCTCTTGAAATTTTTTATCTTTCTTTTCCTCTTATTTTTACTTTTAATGTTTAAAATTTTATTTTTTCTCATTCTTCAAATTCTTTCTTTTTTCTTTCTTCTTTTCCCACTCAATCTCTTGCTCACCCACATTATTCTTCATCTCCCTTTTTGTTTCTGTTCCTGTTCTAATTCAGATTTCTTCTTTCTTTTTCTTTTCATCTCTCTTTTTCCTTCACTGGAGTGTTATCAGTTTCATAGGCAAGTGGGTATACTTTATACCTTCCGTATTACTGTTAAGTTGTTCTATTCTTGTCTTTGTTCTTGCACTCTGTCTTTCCCTCTTGTCTTTTTGGGTGATCATCGTGTGTCCTCTGGCTTCACTTGAAACCTTCTCCTATTCCTTTACCTATTGATTCCTCTCCTCTCAACTCCTTCTACGTTCCTATCCTAAAGGGTAAAGTTGCTATATTGAAGAGTTTATTCACTGTAAACATATTTTGGGCTGGTACTTGATTTTGATTTAATTCACATGGTTAAAGGTGATAAATTAATAACTACCACAAATGGTCAATTTCTAAGCTGTGCTTGATACTATTGTGTTGCTGATTGTATCAACTAGGCTAAAGGGCTGATTGATTTAATGAGTTGTTATGAAAATGAAAGTGTCTCTTAGTCAACAGAGACTCAGAACCTAATGTATCAGGAAGATCAAAGTACTAAACCAGGAATTAAATCAAGGACAGCCCAACAACAAAAATAAAAATGAGAAAACACTTAAGCAAGTCACAGATACAGGCTTCCAGTTCACCAACAGCAAATTCTAGGGGAAACATGGTAGAAAAGTCTGACAACCACCAGAAATAATTTCCCAGATAACTACATAGATGGTGGGCACAATGAAAGACATGAGCAGAACCTCTAGAACAGAAACAGACAAAAAAATAGATGAGCTCAAGACCATGACAGCAGCCATGAATACCCAGCATAGGAAAGGAATGTAAACAATGAACACTCAACACAGGAAAGAAATGGAATCCCTGAAACAGATTCAAACAGATATACAGGAGATAAAAAACGCCACTGAAAATATTCATGGCAGAATAAGCCAATGTGAAAATAGAATATCACATTTAGATGACAGGGTTGGGGTTACTGACCAAGAAAAGAGAGATTTCTTAAAAATAGTAATGGACCCTGAGAAATTGACATAGCAGCTGCTAGATGATGCAAAGAATAACAGAAGACTGATAGTAGTCCTTGAAAAAGCAGGAGAAGGTACAAATGACATTAAAAAAACTGTTCACAGAAGTAATGGCAGAAAACTTCCCAAACAGAGGAAGAGAATTAGACATATAGGTAAGTGAGGCATATAGGACTCCAACTTGCCATGATTAAAAAAATAAATAAATAAAAAATCTATACCTAGACATATAATAGTCAAGATCCCAGAAACCCAAAAGAAGAACAAATCCTACAAGCAGTTAGAAAAGAAACAAATCAGAAACAAAAGAAAGCCCATCAGAATCACAGCAGACTTTTCAACACAAACCTTCAAGTCAAGGAGAACCTGGAGTGAGGAATTTCAAATCCCAAAAGAAAACAACCTCCAATCTAGACTCATGTATCCTGCAAAACTCTCTTTTAAAATGGACAGGGAAATAAGATAGTTTCATGACAAAGAACACCTGAGAAACTTCATGAATACCAAACCAGGACTCAAAACATTTCTAAACAATATCCTAGAAAAAGACAATGAAGGTCACAACACCATGAGGCCCAACAAAACAAATCAATTAGGCAAGCCAAGAAACAAAGGGGGGGGGTTAAAAAGAGCCAACAACAGGACAATAACATGACAATGACAAGCAAATACATATCAGTGATAACCATCAATGTTAATGGCCTCAATTATTCACTAATCAAAAGAAATATACTGGCAGAATGGAGTAAGAAACAAAGTCCAACAATGTGTTGTATAGAAGAAACACACCTAGTTCAAAAATAGACTCACAGACTGAAAGTAAAAGGTTGGAAAACAGTTCTCCATGCAACAGCAGCCCAGAAAAAAGCAGGGGAAGCTATCTTATTCACAAAGTAAATTTCAAACCAAAACTAATTAAGACAGACAAAGGTGGTCACTACATCCTTGTAAAGGGAACAATCCAAGAGGAAGAAAGGACAATCATAAATATATATGCACCAAATATTAATGCCCCCTACTATATAAAAAATATTAAGGGGCATGGAAAAACAAGTAAGTACTAATATAATTGTAATGGGGGACCTAAATACTGCACTATCACAAATAGGTAGATCATCTAGATAAAAAATCAACAACAAAATACTAGAACTAAACCAAGCTTTTGAACAAATGGACTCAATAGACATCTAGAGAGTGTTCTACTCCAAAAAATAGGAATATATATTATTTTCACCTGCACATGGGTGATTCTCCAAAATAGACCACATACTAGCTCACAGAACATGTTTAAATAAATGCAAAGGGACTAAAGTTATCCCATCTATAGTACCAGACCATAGTGCAATTAAGCTGGAGAGCAATTGCATAAGAAACTGTAAAAAGTCATAAACACATGGAAATTGAGCAACACTCTCCTGAACAATCAATGGGTCACAGAGGAAATTAAAGAAGAAATCAGTCAGTTTTTATAAATAAATGATAATGCCAATACAACATACAGGAATCTATGGGACACAATGAAAGCAATTCTATGAGGTAAATTTATAGCAATAAATGGCCACACTAGGAAAACAGAGGGAGCTTAAATAAAAAACCTAAGGATGAATTTTAGGCTCCTTGAAAAAGAAGAGCAAGAAAAGCCCAAAGCTCATATAAAGGAGGAAATTATAGAGATTAGAGCAGAAATCAATGCAATGCAAACTAAAAGAATGATACAAAAATATCTGAATCGAAGAGTTGGTTTTTTTGAAAGAAAAAATAAAATCGACAAACCCTCAGCCAATCTTGTCAAAAAAGTAAAGAGAAAAGGCTCAGATCCATGCAATTAGGAATGAAAAGGTGAAGTCACAACAGATCCAGCAGAAATCCAGGGGATCATCAATACCTACTTTGAGAAACTGTACTCTAATAAAATAGAAAACACAGAAGAAATGGACAGATTTCTTGATACTCATGAATTACCAAGGTTGAACGAAGATAAAGAAATTATAAACACCCCAATTACAATCAGTGAAATTGAAAACATAATTAAAAATTTACCAACTAAGAAAAGCCCAGGTCCAGATGGCTTCACTGCTGAATTCCACAAGACATTTAGAGAAGAACTACTCTTTAAACTCTGCAATGAAACTGAAAGGGAAGTAATATTTCCAAATTCATTTCTGGAAGCAAATGTTACTCTGATTCCAAAACCAGGGAAAGACTCGACCAAAAACGAAAACTATAGGCCAATCTCCCTAATGACCATAGATGCAAAAATCCTCAATAAGATACTGGCAAACAGAATACATGGGGTCATCAAGAAGCTCATATACCCTGACCAAGTCAGATTTATCCCAGGGATGCAAGGATGGTTCAACCTATGTAAATCAATAAATGTAATACACTGTATTAACAGAGTCAAGGACAAAAACCATATGATCATCTCAATAGATGCAGAAAAAGCATTCAACAAAATTCAACACCCATTCATGATAAAAACCCTACAAAAAATTGGAATAGATGGCCTTTATCTCAACTTGATAAAGGTTATTTATGAAAAACCAACAGCCAACATCATATTAAATGGCCCAAAACTGAAAACCTTCACGTGAAAATCAGGAACAAAACAAGGATATCCACTATCACCACTCCTGTTCAATATAGTCCTGGAAACACTAG